TTTCTATAAAGTCTATAGATTTTTATAGCAAACTGGTGATCATATAAATTAAAACCATGAATCTTTCAAAATATTTATAAGGCTAATCTTCCACATTGATTAAGTAAACATAATCGTGATTAAAAAGAATGAACAATAACAAAAATTCAAAACTCTAGAAAAGTTTAATATGTGAGTTAATTTGATTTTGCTAATCTAATTCAATTAAAATTTTTTAATAAAAGTGGAAATTTTTTTTTAGAGAAAAAAAATCAAGATAACAAAAGTTCAAGCTAAAACTTAGAAAAAACCCATTTTTTATACTTTTATTAATAATATCAGTAAATATTCAAAAAAATAACCAAAAAAGATCAATATAAGCATATTTTAGATAAATTAATTTGTATAATATATCAAATATTCTTAGTATTAAAAAAAGTAACACTAAGAACAAGAAAAGTTTTCTTTATCCACTGTATTATAGAAGACAACAATTAACTCAGAGATTTTGTTTATGTTAAAAAAAATTATTAATATAAATGATTTTTTATTTTCAGATATATAAGTAATTTTTTTGAGACAAATTGCTATTATTTTTAAATAATGAGAAGTAAAATCCATCTAATTAAATTTTCATAAACAATCAAAAGAATATCAACAATTCACACTCATCTTTTGAACAACAATATTAATTAATAATATTATTTAAGTTTAGAATATTTTAAGATAGAGATATATTTTTAGAAATGAGATACATATTCCAACTCTACTTTGATTCTTAAATTGAGAGTATGTGTTACATAAATCATAATCAATTTGACCAACAAAATGAACAAATAAAACACTTAATTTTTAAATTCAATATCTAAATAATATCAATTAAAAGAATTTTTAAAAAGCTTAAGATCTAAATGATATAATTTTTCAATTTAAATGACTTTAAATATCATTTAGTATCATTTTCTCAGACATAGTTAAAAGAAAAATTTCAAAATTTGCAATAAAATTTTGAATAAATAACAGCACTAATATTGATTAAGAATTTTTTAGATTATATTTAAATAAATTATGTATAAAGTATCTAAAGAAAAATTATAGCAGATATTAGCTTCTGGATTATTTTCGGATTATTAAGATAATCTAATTGAATTCAATTCAACAAAGTATTTTGAAGATTCTTTAAAATCAAATATTTAAAAAGGATTATATGATGATGCTATAAAATAGAGTTAACAAGAATTTGGAGAAAATTGGATAGTAAATTAAGATTCTATAAGTTTATTGAAAGTATTCTAGATTGTTCTACTTGTAAATAATAAATTAAACTTAGAAACCAAAATCAATACTTTTCTTATCCTTGTCATTAATTGCATTTATTTTTAAATTTTTATCAACAAATGGAATTTACACAAATGAATGGATTGAAAGTTTATTTATATTTGGATTAATTTGTTTAAACCTAATAATATCTGGATTTCAAGTTTTATATCAATTTTATAAATTTAGATTAAACATGCGAATAAAAAAAAAATATAAAATTTAATTTTTAATGAATCATCAAAATATGTAATTGTTTTGAGAAATGGATAAGAGTGTAGTATGAATGCTAGGGAACTAGTAGTAGGAGATATTGTAATTGTAAAAGAGAATGATAAAATCTATGTTGATGGATTAATTGTTGAATAAAATAATTTATAAATTGATGTAAATTTGTTGATTATTTTTTATTTAGGAATCCTTCTTAACAGGAGAATATGAATCCATTCATAAAATTACATTAGAAGAAGCATTTGTATCTTAATAGAAAATTTAATTAAAGAAGCATTTACTCTATGCAGGAACTTAAGTAGTAGAAGGAAGTGGTAAATTATTAGTTTTGGCAGTTGGTTCATAAATTTAAGCTAATAAAATATAATTTAATGTTTTATAAGTGGAGAAAAAAACAGCTATTTTATAAGCAATTGAAAAAATATCTTATAAAATGGACAAAATTGAATTTCTTGGAACTTTATTTATTATCTTTATTTTGTTAACTAGATACATTTTTGTTTATAGTGAATAGAATGTGAATAGATTTAGTACATTTTCAAATATACTTAATCTAATCATAGTATTAAAATCTGGAAATGCTTCTAAAGCAATAATTACTCATTTCTATTTATAATTAGCTTAGACGGTTAAATTGATGCTATGTTAATAAAATTTGGTAAGAAATATTTAGTAATTAGAAACTCTAGCTTTTATGGATTAGGTATTTTTATATTATTTATCATTCAGGTACTTGTTGATTAAAGAGGAACTTTAACTTAAAATAGAATAGTTGTAGATAGTTTTATGAATGATACAATAGAATACTTAACTTCATCATAATTTAATTTATATTCATAAGAATTCTAATAGGCTTTTATTGATTCTTGTTTTATTAATAAGTTTTATGATCCAGAAACAGGTTAGGAAAGCAATATTGAATAAGCATTAGTCAATTTCTCTAAAAAAACGAATGTTAATATAGAAGAGAGATTAAAATAAGTGACACATAAAATTCCTTTTACTTGTGTTAGAAAAATATAAGTATTAATACATTTCTAAATTATTAGACAACCATCATTAATAACAATAGAATTGCTGTAAGAGGATCAGCTGAACATATATTAAATTGGTCAACTCAATTTTATAGTTAGAAAAATGGAATTATTGCAATTGATAAAGTTGTAAAGGATAATATAGAGTAACTTTTGACAGAATTATGTCAAAAAGGAAGAATCATAGGTATAGCTTATAGGGATATCAATTTATTAAATGAAAATGTTGAAGAATTGATAGAGAATATTAATTTGAATTTGATAGATAGAATCTAACATTATTAGGTTTCATACAATTTGTAGATCCATTGAGATAAGAAACAATATCTGCAGTTCAAGGATTTAAATAAGCTGGAATTAAGGTTGTAATAGTTACAGAGGATGATTCTAGTAGTGCAAAAAGTGTTGCCATCAACTCAGGAATTATGTCATCTAATTCAATTGTTATGGAAGGAAGTGATTTTTCTTAGTATTTAAGAGGAAAGACTGAAAATTCTAAAAAAGAAGTTGAAAATATTTCAGTTTTGAGTAGAGCTAGACCACAAGATAAATATAATCTTGTCAAAGTATTATAAGAATTGGGTCATGTAGTAGGAGTCTGTTTTGATGAAACAAATGATAGTAAATAATAATATTATTCATATTAATAGCTTCTGCTTTAGCTCGGGCGGATATTGGTTATAGTATGGGGATTGCAGGAACTGAAGCTGCTAGAGTAACTTCAGGGATTATTTTATTAGATGACAATTTTCATTCAATTTATAAAGGACTTATATTTGCTAGAAATCTGATTGATTCAATCAAAAGATTAGTTCAATATTAGATCACATCATAATTTTCATTAATGATTATTTTAATAATCTCAGCAGTTATTGGAGAGGTTGTAATATCATCACTTTAATTTATTTGGATAAATCTAATTAATGCTTTATTTTCTACATTTGCTTTATCTTATTGTACACCAAGTTCTTAATTGAAGTATTAAAAACCTCCTAATAAAACTGGATTCATATTCGATAGATTTATTTTAATTCACATCTTTATTTTATCTATATACATCATTACTGTATGTATCATATTTTTGAATGAAGTATTATAATATTTTATTAAGTAGCCTTTGATGGTATTTAATCTATTTGTTATGATTACAATATTTAATTTGATTAATTCTCGTATGGTATACTTAGAATTTAATATATTTCATGGATTTTTTAGATCTTGGATAGTTTACACAACAATTACATTAATAGGACTGTTTTAATTTTTAATTGTATAATATGGAGGAACTATAATGCATACATTTGATGGTTTGAGCCTTAAATAATGGTATTATTGAATATTTATAAAATAGGTTTGTTTGTATTTCTATTGGAATAGGAAGTGTAGTTTGGAGAAGCATAGTTATTCTAATAAGAAAGTCTATAATAGTAAATATTCAATTAAATATTTAATAGATGAGAAATAAACAAAAATTAAAAGTAAATTGAGATAAATTATCATTATTATTAATTATAATTAAAAATAACAAATGAAATTAGTAAGGTTTCTAATGAAGCTCAAGAATGAATAAGTCATTGTTGAATTAAAAAATGGGACAGTTGTTTTAGGAACAATTACAGGAGTTGATGTTAGAATGAATACACATTTAAGCAAAGTGAAATTGACATTGAAAGGAAAGAATCCTGTAGGATTAGATTAATTGACAATTAGAGGTTTGATGACTATCATTACATAGGAAATAATATAAGATACTTCCATTTGTCTGAAAATTTATAAATTGATAATTTATTAGTGGATGAATCTATTTCAAAATCAAAGAAGGTGAAAGCAGGAATGGAGAAAAATGATCCTAATTTTAAAAGAAAGAAGAAGAATAAAGTCACTCGTTTACCAAGAAGATGATATACCATTCCCAGTATTAATTTATCACATATAAAAACTTCTATTTCTTCATTTATATTAAATTGTTTTTCATTTCAATACTTTATGTAAGTATAATTATATATATTATGAACTGTAACATAATTAAAATTAATTAATAGTATCATTCAAATACTTAATTAATTAAATGAATTTTGAATAATATAAATAAAATGACAGAATCAAAAAAGAGATTGAATTCTTCAATGACTTATGAGGAATATGTAAGTATTTTTCAAAAAGAACCAAAGAAACCCTCACTTAAACCAAAATTAAATCCAGATCTTTTAATAGATGATTTAGATCTCCTTAGTGATGCTCAAACAACAGACAATGTTGATACTCTCTATACAGAAATTAATTAACAATAAAATCAAAAATAAGTTCCACTATAAGAACATACTTAAAAAAGATAAAGAACTTATAGTGAAAACATTTCTTATACATTTCTTAGTTTTATATAGAAAAAAATTGAAAGAAAGTAATCAGATTGAATTAGACTAATTATTATATATTTAATCACTTTGTATATAATTTATTTTCCCTAAGACGATCCTCAAATTATCTCATTCTTTATTCAAGTTACTCTTTATTTTTCTATAAATCTGTTAATCTTGATTTTATAGTAGTAAGATTTGTCTTCTCATTATTATTATTATTATTATTATTTGTCTTCTCCCTAATAGAACTTTGAGGTCTTTCATTTAAAACTTCCTTTTTTTTTTATTTTTCAAAAGATTAATACTTAGTTTCTCTATCATGATCTGTTTTACATAATTTATTTTTCTATAGATTATCATCATATTTATTTTCTTATATTAATGTTTTAACAGGACTCTTAAGTTATTATTAATTAGTATAATTATGTAACTAAGAATGGGAAGAATGATGATAAGTCAAATTGGGTTATTAATATGGTAATGATGTTTATTTCTATAAAACTTTGACATCATCTTCATCTTCACTTTCATCATCTTATACATGACATTATAATATTTCTGAATCTGAATTTTTGTTCTAATTAAATTCTTGTAAACGATGTAATTCAATAGTTCTATTATTTTAATTAAAATAATTACAATTTAGATATTTCTTTATCCTTATTTTACAATTAAATTTCCATCTCTTTTTATTTTTATTGCATCTATTATATTTTAGATTGATAATCTACTTTCATTTATTAAATTAATCTATCTTTTTCTTCTAATTATTTTTCTAATTATTAAATTTTTTAATTATAAGTTCCATCTTATTTTTCAGTATAGTTACTTTTACTTCTTTCTTCATGCTTCCCTCTAAGAGTTGTTGTTGAACTACAAACACTTTCAATAAATGATGAAGATCCCTTCTATTCAATACATATCAAATGACTATTTCCAGCTGAAAAATGTATTAATTATTTTGAGTTTAATTAATCAATTGATTTTAATTATGTAATTCTCTTTTATTCTGGATCAAATTACCATTAATAAGCTTTATCTCCTATACACATTCCAACTAAATCACCCATACAAAAATCTTTAATATTCATAAGTTATTCATCTAATTCAAAAAATATTAATTCATTTGTTGAAGTTAAACCAATTGGAGTACTTTTGCCATCTATTTTAATAAATTTTTCTATTAATATATTGAACTTATTACATTTATAGTTTAATTTTTATAAATTTCCAAAACCTAATCCACAAATATATACTATTCCATCTTAAGTTAAGAACACTGAAAATAAATTACCTGCACAAGTCTATTATAAAAGAGGTAATTTAATTTTGGTGGGTTCAATAATAGTTTTCAATCTTTAGATTCCCAATTAAGAATTATCATTCAATCCAAATCCAAAGCATTCTTAAGCATCTTATATATTATTTATATTCTAAAATACCAGTTAATACTAATGTATGTTTATTGCCACATGAAACATGAATACAATTTGTAAGACTATTTACTTTGTTCAAATTACTATTTTACTTAACTCCTAATTAACCACTAGAATTATCTCCCCAAGTGAATAAAGATCCATCAGATGTAATACATGCAGTATGTGTGTAACCACAAGAGACTTATATAACTCTCTTTTAATATAAAAGTTTGTACTTGCTAAGTTATTCTATTTTTTAAGGTGCTTATAGAGATTATTTTGTGACATGTCCTAATTTATTGTGCTCATTGCAACCCATAGTATAAACATAGCCATTCTAAGTCAGAAGGGCAGTGTGATCCTTGCCACAAGAAACCTAGATAAACCCTATTTTATAATGACAAATTTTTGGTATATGGTAGTATTATGAGGATCCTCGATTCTTGCCCAATCCTAATTATCCTTCATTGTCAGCTAGAATATTTAATAGAGATTATACCTCCCCAAACATAAACTATTGATTCAGAGATCATATAAGAATTTCAAATTTAACGATATATTAATTATATTGATGTTGTATGCAGTACTATCACATGAATAAAATTTATCTATTTTATAACAATTATTTCATTAAGATAGTAATTTTAAGATAACCAAATAACCCTTAGTGAAAATAATAAAGCTGCTCAAGATTGATAATTTTCAGAAGAGATTGATTAATTAGAAAATATTGATGGTTCACTAAATTTGGAAATGATTTCATATTATATTGTTACTAAACGTTTGAAAGATGATAATTTTTTCCAAAAAAGACGAATTCTCTTTAAAAATCTAAGAAACATTATCTACAAAAACATAAATATAATTGCAAATATAAGTTTTGAAATTTCAATTTTTAGTAGAGAATCTATATAGGATTTAAGAGTATTACTAATAATTTAAAATCTTATTTGATTTGGAATTCTGAATTTACAAATCATTTTGTTAAATTTTTTGTTTCATCTTACATTACTATACTTTATATGGATTGAAAATTAGATAATGGTATTTTATGTGATTAACTATAAGTTGATATTTGTGTTGCTTTTTGTTCAGGAGGGATAAATTTAAGATATATACTTAGAATACTTCCAAATCTAAAATTCAGATATAAGCATGACTTAATTAGAAATAAGCATTCTCAACTAAACAGAATAATTCTAGTTATTGTATTTAAGTAATTCTTTAAGAATCTAAATTTGCTAATCTTAATAATTAGGCTAAAGAAAATTTATATGAACATTAATTTATTTATGAATAAATAATTTCTTGCTTTGGGTATTGAAGGAAGTGCCAATAAAATTGGAATTGGAGTGGTTACAAAAGATGGAAATATCTTATCAAACCCTAGAAGAACATATATAACTCCACCAGGAACTGGATTTGTACCTAAAGAAACAGCATAACATCATAGAGATAAAATATTAGAAGTTTTAGATGATGCGCTTAAAATTGCTAATGTTACATTAGATGATATTAGTCTTATTTGTTACACTAAAGGTCCTGGAATGCATGGACCTCTTTCAATAGGTGCTACTGTTGCAAGAACATTATCTTTACTTTATAAGATTCCAATAATAGGAGTTAATCATTGTGTTGCTCATATAGAAATGGGAAGATTAGCTACCTAATGTCAAAATCCTGCTGTACTTTATGTAAGTGGAGGGAATACTCAAGTTATTGCTTATTCAAAAAATAGATATAGAGTATTTGGAGAAACAATTGATATTGCTGTTGGTAATTGTTTAGATCGTTTTGCAAGATTAGTTAATATAAGTAATGATCCTGCTCCAGGATATAATATAGAATAATTAGCAAAAAAAGGTAAAAATTATATTCTTGATACTCCTTATGTTGTAAAAGGAATGGATATGAGTTTTAGTGGTTTATTAACTTTTGTGGAAGATGTCGTTAATTAATTTCCATAAGTTAAATTACCTGAAGTAGCAGGGAATGAGAAAGCTAAAAGAAAGAATAAATAATAAAAACTCATTAGAAAATGGGTTAATCCTATTCCTGAAGATTTAACCACTGAAGATTTATGCTTTACTCTTTAAGAAACTATATTTGCAATGTTGACTGAAGTAACAGAAAGAGCCATGTCTCATTGTGAATCTACAGATGTAATTATAGTTGGTGGAGTTGGTTGTAATGAACGATTATAAGAAATGGTATCTATTATGGTCAAAGATAGAGGTGGTAAGATAGGAGCCATGGATGAAAGATATTGTATTGATAATGGAGCTATGATTGCTTATACAGGTACTTAATTAAAATCTAAATATTAGGCATTTTAGAGTATTTTTCAAATGGACCTACTAATTTCAAAGATACATTTGTAACTTAAAGATTTAGAACCGATGAAGTTTATATAGGATGGAGAAATGATTGATATATATATATATATTAAATAGAAAAGAAAAAAAAAATATTAAAAACTAATTATTAGTATTTGTTAAAGTTCTTTATAATCAAAAATAGTTTATAGATTAGGTAACAAAAGAATTTATTAAAAATTATTAAATTAATTATGATTAAGAGAATGATATTAAATATCTAATAAATACAAAAATTATTCATTCAAACTTTGAGACTGCAAGTTCCTCTTAACTATCTTCTTATTTAATTTATAGACCATTTATAGATATAAAACTTTCTTCTGTCATTTTACTTTTTATTTCTGGTGCTTCTATTTATTCTTCAATTTCATTTGCAGTTTAATTAACACTATAATTTTATTCTATCTATTAACTACTTAAGTAAAAATACTCATTTGTACTTCCTTGGTTTTAATTAGTAGATTGTTGAGACACTAATTTATGATTATATGATGATAATCCCAAAGGACGTGTAAAAGTATTGGAAAATTTACCATATTTTGTTTAATATTCAGAATTGTCACATTCATAATACAAATCCTTAATACCAGAACTAATTTAAGATTATTTATGTTTTTAATCATTATCTATTTTTTATTCATCAAAAGGATCATGAGTATAATTACTTCCATTTTAAAACTCTTGATTATGCCTTAGAAAACTTTAAACTGCTTTTTTCTATAATTAAATTTATGTGCTTTATTTAGTTGAATTTGATTTTGAATGAATAGGTGGTTTAGTAGAAGCAACTTCTTCAATTACTTATAATCCTGTAGCTAATTTAATTGTCTTCTCCAATAGACATTCTTAAGAATATTACTTAGTAAGAGTAACTCCCATTTATGGTAACTTCTTAGATCTATTAGATTAAGATTATAATATTTATTATGATTATTATTCTTGTTCTTGAATTGAATTAATAATAGTATTATTATCTTCTAATACAAGTTATTTTATTTAAAATTAATTTTTATTTATATTAGATGGATTTTTGGTATTTTATAATTAAATAGTTTTTCTTTAATGTTAAGTATATGATGTAGATTTTACTTTTAATCCATTCTGATTAGTGTGTTTAGTTTGTTCTTAAAAATTCATATTAATTTATTTTGGCTAAAAGGATTTTTTATCTGATTAACTTTATATATTTCTTTCTTAAGAATTAGACACACCAGATAATCTTCGAAGTTAATTAGTTATTTAATTTTTTCTAATTTCTAATTTTTCTGATTAAGCTCTATTACTTATTGGTAATAATTCCATAATTCTTTTTTCACAAATCTTCTAAATAATACATTAACCATCACTTTGTTATATATTATTATTATTACTTTAATTTATTCACAATATTAGATTCATAAATCTTTTTCAATCTACATAGAGTTTAAATACTGAGCATCTTAACTTACATCTCTCCAACTTTAAAAAAACTATCTATATCAAATCCTAAACTAATCCATTTTTTTGTTAAAATGAATGCACTTGATATTTTCACTTCATTTTTATTTTTTGTGTATGCTTATTGAAAATTAGGGCCTATAATTATCTTATATTACTGTATAAATTATAAATATCTATACTTGATCTTTAGAAATAAGTTCAAGAATGAATTTTAATTTTTCAATCACATATATTTATATGTACAAATTAGAACCCTTTATATTTAATTCTTAAGAATTGTTATAAGTATATAGATTTGTAGGACCAACTTTTAAAACGAAACCTCTATATTAATTTATTTTTATACTTTTCATGGTCTTATCAAAAATGATATTATCTGATTAATGTTACTTTAACTCTTCATAAATATTTATAATTTACCTCTGCATTCAAATAATATGTTCTCTTAGATAATTTTTGGCAACTATGTCATCATGTATACAACTGTATTTATTTTATTTAATTATTCATAAAATATATAAATTAAGACCATTCTTTGTCTAATTTTTATTAAACTTATGATCAGATTTTAGTTTATAATATAAAATTAATAGTGATATTTATTTAAGGATAAATGAAATTCACAGTTCTAATACGATTGCTTTAAAAGAGTTAATATTCTTAAATATTAGACACTCGAAGTTTATTTCCTAACCAAACTAAGAATTCTCTAATTTACTTATGAATTCTCCTTTTGGTCCTATAATTTTGATTACTTTTTTTATCATTTAGTTAAAACAATCTATTTCAAATACTTTCTTTATAGTTCCACTATATTAAGCATTTAATTTAATTATAATTTCATCAACATTATCTATTTTTAATTTTGATTCATTTTTCTAATTTATATATAAAGTTATTTAAATTGGAGATTTTTAAATAAGAAAACATACTAAACTTAATATTAAATGTGTGATTAAATAAGCATCATTAATAATAATTAAATTGTGATCTGTTTGATATGAAAATTTAATCTATTTATAATTTAAATAATCTTTTAAAGGATTTTCTATTTATTATAATAAGCTTTAAATGTTTATTTATGAAATTTTTAATTTAGGTATATCATTTTTATTTATACATATCGAAAAATATTCTGAAATGAATTGAACTAATCTAAATTATATTTCTGAAAATACAATAGGTTAGTTATATAATCTAATAGGATTTATAAGTGAACTTAATTATTTTATTCGAATTTCAAATAACTATTGAAATTATTAAATTATTTTTTTTAAATAATCTCTTTATTATTTCACTTTTATAAGTTCTCTTTTTACTTCATTCTATTAAAGTAATACCATTGCTTTTGCTTCTCCTTTTTCAATTGTATGGTAGATTTTTATTTTATAATCACATTTTGCATTAGAATCATAACCTTATAAAAAATCAAAATTATCAGTTTTTTTAGCTGTGAATGATTTATGAAGCACTTATTCAAGAGTTTCAGAACCTTCTAAATTTGGAACTGATATTCTTGTAAATCTAACTGAAGAATTTTATTGAAAACATTCACTCCTTATTCTTGATGATGATATTTTTGATTAAATCATAGTAAATCTTTATTATTTTGGTATTAAAATTTATCTAATGAACTTTCTAAAATCTTCTTAAGTAGAGAAAACGTATCCATTTGAAATTTAATTTTATGATTCTAATTTCAGGAAGTTTGTTTTTCGATCATATTTGATTTTCATTACTTATATACTAAATTGTTCAATTAAACTACCATATTGTACTTCATCTCTTTATTTTAATAAAAAGAATTCTCTTTTTTAATATTCATTTGAATAATATGCTAAACAGGACAAAATCAAAGCTAAATTATTTTATTTTTTATTACCTAATATAAACATAACTTAATTTCCATTAAAAGAGTTCTATACTATTGTTTAAACTAGAATTAAAGTTGAAAAGTTAAATATAATAATTGCCATATTTAATACAAATTTTGAACCTAAAAGCAAACTAAACTATACTAAAACAACTGTTTATCCAATCATCAAATTTAAGTTTGGAATTAAATCAAATAGAAGAGTAATATTGTAGATGAAGCCAATTAAAAGATTGTTAAAAGGTAAAATGTAGTCAAATAACTTTGGGTATTTTTTAATTAGTTTAAAGGATATGAAAAAGATCAAAGGGAAACAAATTATAAGATATTTACTATTCCCAAATCCTATAGGGTAAGTGAATTCTAAAGAAAAAATTATTATTGCACTAATTGATCCAAAAATGCAGACCCGTTCATAAAAAAAAGTTAACATTGGAAGTTGATCAGTAAAAAATTGATTTTGCTTTTAAGAGCTTCTAAATGAGAGCATAATTTTATTCATTTTTGGTTGATTACTTTTGTATTTCTTAAATAAATTTATAGAAAATCATTAGAAAAAAATTATTGTTCATAGTTGAATTAGATTTATTGTATTATAAAAAAACCAAATAAAATTTAAATGCTTTATCTGATTAATAAAAAAACCATAGAAAAATCCTATGACTATATGTATACTTATTAAATAGAAGATATTAATTGCAGATTCTAACTTCTCTATGTATTATGACTAATATAATCATAAAATATTGATTAATTAAATTTTTAGAGAAATAATTATAATTAAAAATGGATAATAATGATCATAAGGAAAATCAAGAAAAACAATATATATGCATTGATCCTAAATGTGATTAATCAAGTAGATTATTTAAAGCTAAAAATGACAATCACCCACATAAAGCTCATGATCATCAACTATACTCTGAGTTCTAGAAATTGATTCGTGCTTAATTTCCATAACAAGTGAGGGAATAAATTAATTAATAATTTAATAAAGATGAACTAGTAAAGGCCATCTAAAGTAGGTCTGTATAGATGCATGAGTCAATTAAAATTTTTGAAGAAAACTTATTAAAGTAAAAATACTCTTTGAAAACTAATAGAACTATAGAAGCTTATGATGTATTAGGAGCAGATAAAGCTTCTATTAATTAAGCTCTAAGTTAATTAAATGAATCCAATCCTCCATAATCCCTCAATGTTTAAGGTCTGTTACATGTCTTAAAAATCAACAAATTGGGACCATAAAAAGTATTAGAAAAATGGAAAAGAGAAAATGATATTATCTTAAAAGAATTGAATACTTAAGCAGAATCTGCTTTGAAAACATTAAGTAATGCAACTCTATAAAGTTATATGCATATATAACATTTATAGAGTCCATTAATTTTATAAAAGTACCAATAGAATATGGTATTGTAGAATGCATTTTGCATGGAGTCATAATTTCAAAGCCAGTTCTGTGACAATTAGAGAAGAGGCTGTTTATGAAAAAGGAAATGCTATGGGTCTAGTTTGTATTTAATAATAACTTGAGAAGGATCAAATATAAAGTCTAACTATAGATGTTAAAGAAAGAGGAGGAGTATAATATATATATAGGAATAATAGAATTTGTATGTTGGAGTAATGGATATAAATGAAAGAAAATAAAAAGGAAGAAGAGCATTTAGTTTTCATGATTGGAATGAGTCTGGTCATGGTTTGTATTTGATTTATCATGGAGGGTGTAATAAATAAATATTAAATTTAGATGTATTTAGTTCAAATGATACATCTATAAATACTAAAAAAGTTGGATTTAATTTTGATTAAAATGATAAATTAATTCTTACTTGGAATGGTCCTGAACATACTATTACTATCTTGAAGGTAGGAAGTAGTCATGTAAATTCTAATTATATTATAGTAATTTGCTTTCAAAGTTAATCCAGACGGCTAATATCACTTTTCTGTAGGATTATTTAAATGCGAAGTCAGATTGATTGAATGATAAACCAAATTAATAATATCATTAATTGATTAAATAATAATTATGAATTCTGATTAGAATTGCTTTATCTTAATTTTAGTAAAGAATTATTTCTCGAAGAATAAATACAATATACTTAAATACTCATTAAATTAATGAAATAAAAGGGCAAAGCTAATAAAAGTAAGAACGTTTAATCAGATCATCAAACCAAAAAAGATGCTCTTTAAAGAATCAAAATTACTGAGGATGTATATGAAATATTAGCTTATACTACAAATGAAGATAATGATATTAGATTGGCAGCAACTTCTTAACTCTGTCCTTGTAAGGTTTAAGAAGATGTTCCTGAATTTTGGACTAGAATATTTCAACTAGTTGATGATCCTGATCCTAGAATTAGAGCTAGAATTCTTCATATTATTTGTGATGGTTCTCCTAATAGATTACAAATAGAAGTTATGGAAGCTTTAGAAAAATTCAATAGGGATTCAGATTCTGAAATTAGAAGATAAGCTCATAAAGTTTTAGCCAAAGCTTAGAAAGGAACTTGGAATGTATTATGATTACTAAAATTATAAAAAATATCCAATCAACATTACTAAACAAGTTTACTTGTTGAATATTTTATGTTTTCCACAGGTTTAGGTTTACTTCTTAATGAATCTTTTCTAATAGTATCTTATTATAAATGATTTGAATTGTTGTTCTATTCTATATGAACTTATGATAATCTTTATTATAAAATATTAAATGATAATCTTGAAGCTGTTTATTAATTAGAACTTTGTTCATTTGTGTAATACATAGGCTACATAGTTTGATTTCTATTATGTTTTGATATAGGAATAGTTCTTTATTCAGTTAAAGATTATTAATTTTTATTGGGAGAAGATTAAGATGATATATCTATTTATTATTGTTTTAACTTCTATTCTAAGATTTTTTAATTTTTTAAAAGTTCTTCTATTTTTTATTAATAATCTAAGTTAATGTTTTTAAGTTCTTTATTTTGACATTATAATTCAATTACATCTTCATGTAATTAATTAAGAATACTACTATCATTTGAATCTTAATCTTGTTAAGTATTTTTTTATAGTTCTTTTTGTAAATATTCAACTTCCATTTATTTCTATTCATACTTTTGATTCAAATCCATTCTAATTAACTTTTCTTCCTTAAATTGCTTATGAATTTTTAGAAGTTCGTTTTCTAATTCTTCAATTTATTATTCTTTAACTTGTTTATATTAGTTAAATTTTTATTGTTGTAGCTTCAATTCTTCAAGTAATTCAGAATCAAAACCATTATTTAAAACCAGAGTTTAATTATTTTTTTTAGCTTATTCCAGTTCTAATTTTAATTATGTTATTTCTTAATTGGCCACTTTTTAAGCTTCAGCCATTCTATCTAATTCTTAGACTAAGATTTGTAATCGATTTAAACATCCTGAATGTCTTTAATCAGTCTAAAGAGTATCAGATTTAGTGGAATAAAGCATATTCCCAAAAGATCGATTATAATCGTTTTCTTAATTAGAGCTTCTTTATGAATAGTATTGATACATAAATAAATTTATTTTTTAATTAAAATCAATTTCAACAAATAATTTACTCCTCATATTTTCATTAACTAACACTTTAATGCATAATCTCTTTAATCTTCTTCAGTTAAATTTTTATTATTTCCATCTTCTCTTTCAATATAAAGTTTATAATCTGCTCGAACTAAATAATTATCACAATCTTCAATCCACTTATAATGTATAATAGGAATACTCTTTTCTTATGCAATCATAATACTTCTAATCTTTCTTCTTCCAACCGTAATAACATAACTATTTTCCTAACCTACAAAATGATCTTCCTTAAATTCTCTGTAAACCTTTGCTCCTAAAATAACAGCTTTATCCTTAGCTTATTCTAATCCTCTCTTTATAGTTTCTTCATGTGCTTCAGATTTAGCAAAAAATAGTGTAACACCACTCAATACACTTCTTCTCATTTCTAAATATATTGTTGAAACACTAATTTTTCTATTGATTATTAAATCTAAAAGATTTCTTTCTTCCAATCTAATGTTTGTATCTTCAATTATTTCTGTTTTTACCTTTTTTGTCTTACATACCTACTATTCAAATTCAACAATAAAATTTGGATCATCTTAAGCCTATTAAACTTGTTTCCAAAATTAATCAGAGATAACTTTTAATTTTTATGAAATTGTATAAAGCCAAAAATCATTTCTATTAAATATTTCTACATCTTTTTCAATATCAGTTGCAATTCCTTATCCATCTTTTATAGATCCATGTTCATTAAAATATATAAATGGTTTTGTATATATAAGATTCTCTTTGAATTAATTCCACATTCCAGCATTGTCATCCAAAATTACTAATAAATTAGTAGCAATTCCTGGATAAAAGAGTCTATTCAATGATTTACTATTTGTACATATAGTATCTTCACGAGATAAGACTCTTTATGGAGGAAAGAAAGGTTGATATTCAGGAATAAATTCATTTAATCTATGAGTAATAAAGTTTAATATAAAATCTGCATATGATTTACTTGCTTTAGTATAAATGAATATATCAAAAAGAGGTATTAATGTTAAGAAGAACTACTCAAAATATGGTCTTAATTTAATAATAAATTTGCTCTATTCATCACAAGACATATCTAAAAAATGTTCCTAGATATTAAATCCTAATTATTGGAATCCATTAAATTATACTTCATTATTTGCCTACATCATTTTATTTTGCTTTTCACAAAATTCATATTTATTAAAACCTGTTGTTACTTTGATGGCATGTAAAATAGTTTAATCTAGATCAAGTACCATAATTAGTTTTCTTTTCTTTAATATATCAAGAACAATTTCTTTTGAAATTTTTTTAGAAATATCATCCGAATAATTTAGATCTAATGATTCATCATTTCTTATGACTTTTTCATTACAAATCAGACAATAGCTATTCTCAATTTTCAAATGACTACAAGTCTATGTAATATCAATTACTAATAATGCTTATCCTCTTGGTATAATAATTTTAGTTTTGGCTAATTCAATTATTCGACCTTTAACATTTGATTTTAAATCAATAACATCTTCTTAGTTTTCATCTGCACATATTCCTAAAACCATTGTGGGTGATATACAATCTCCTACATTTACTTTCCATTTTAATACTTAAATATCTCCCTAACAATTCTTACTAGCAAGTTAAGAAAAATTCAATTTGATAAAATTATGTTATACTTATTAAGAAGTAGGAATTGTAGTATTATCAAATTCTTTCTATTTATAATTAATAATATTTTATACATGATTTGGTATATCGCTCTTATTTTTATAGATGATTCCAATTGTAAAATATTATTCAGTGGCAGGTATTTAGAAAACCTTTTCATTTTATGCCCAAACAATAAATCCTTATGAAGAAGCCAATATCTATTTATTTAGATTTTCAAATATATAAACTCCAATCTTTTCATTTTCCTCTACCTTCTCTCCTGATTATTTTAATACTTCTATTTGAATTGTTGAAACATGTTTAATATTAATTCTAACTTAAGAATTACTATCATTCTAAGTTTGCTAATATTTTGGTCTCATTTTTATAATAATATTAACATTTTCTTAAATTTCCATCTAACATTTATTTTAGAATTATGCCTTCTGATTATACAAGATACCAATTATATATAAAATATTAAAATAGAAGTAAAACTAATTAGATATAATATGCAATTATATTTAATAAATTTAAAATATTAATCTATATTATCAGAGTATTATAATAAAGAATTTAGACATGTAAAACCTCTAAAATATTCAATAATATACTAAATATACAAATTTGTCATTATTAATGTAATTTAATTTTGAAAATAAATAGAAATATATTTTAGATTTTATATTTATTAACAATAATAAGAGTCATTCAAAATAAATCTATCTTAAATTTAACTAAATATAATAAGAATTTTAGAATTATCAATAATAAAATGACAAATAATAATAAAAAAATGATTTATATTAAAATTATGATTATCCAATAAATAAATTTAATTTATGAAATACTTTGCAGTCCTAGTGATATTATATGCATCATTATTATGCACATGTTATTCTAAAAGTACAGAAAAAAATGAGAAATCTGTATATTTCATATTTTCAGAGGAATGCTTTGATAAATTAGTGCTCTAAAAAGATTTCTTAAATATTGAATGCATTAAAAAGACTTTATCTGAATTAATTAGTTATTCAATTGTAGCTTTATCAGTCATTTTGAAAGCACCTTAGATTTTTAAGATAGTACAAAAATCAAAAGTAACTGGATTATCATTTGATTCAATTTTCTTTGAAGTATTTTATTAATATAATTTAAGCTCTTTGTTTATTCATTTTCTATTGCTTATAATATGCATAAATAAAATCCTTGGAAACTTTATGCAGAAAATGTTGCCATATTAATATAAACTGTGATTATTGTTGCACTTTATAAGATTTATGAGAAATAATTTACAATGAGATAATTTTATATAAGAACTGCTATTTTTATTGGAATAAACTTACCATTATTCACAGGACTTATTCCTAATAGTGTATTTAACTTAGCTATTATCATAAATATATGTTTAAGTAAAATATCATATAAATAATATATTAGTTATGTTTGCAAGATTACCTTAAATTTGGTCAAACTTTAGAAATAAGGATACTGGTTAACTTGCTTTTATAACAATCTTTTTATAATTTGCTGGAGCAGCTGCAAGATGTTTCACTATATTAGTCAGTTCAACAGATGGAATGTTAATAGTAAATTATATATATATTTATTTTATTTAGCTCCTCAATGTTATCAGTGTAACCTTGAATTTTACATTAGTGTTTTAAATGATAGCATATTGGAATTCAAAGAAAGGAAAGACAGATTGAGTTAATAATATAAATTTTTAATCATACAATAAATAATTTACATATAAATCCTATTCTTGACTATTAAGAGATTATAATAGATTTAATGAAACCAATTCTTGTTAGAATATTCTTTAATTTCTAATTAATTTTTTTTAAAGATTTACTTGTGTATCCACAAAAATTTAATATCATCATATTTTAATTGAATATAATTTGAAACTATATTCTACTTATGATGACCTTGGTATTAATAAAAAAGAAAAGATGATTATTAGGTTTTGATTTTATTTTAATAATCATTCTATAATTAATATGAGTTTTGATGATGAGGTTTGGGTAGAAGATGAAAAAGAAATCTGTAAAATCGAAAGGTTAAATGAAGCTTAAGCAGCTACAAAATTTAGAGTTGATCCATTGGCTAAACAAGGAATATAAGATCTTTTAGTATAATTATTTTTATGAAAATCTTAGTGTCTATCAGATTTAAATGAATTCAATTGTCTTCATAATATTCGAATTAGATATCTGAAAGAATTAATTTACACATAAATTGGATCCTCTATATTAGTTTCTATAAATCCTTATGTTTTTCTATAAAATATTTATAATCAAGAAACAATTGCTTATTATAAAATTAAGTTAGGATAACATTAAGCACAATTGAAAACAAGTGTTAGAGAGAATGAATTTGAACCTCATTTATTTAAAATTGCTTAATTATCATATGATTAATTGTTTGAAACTAAAACAAAAGAATTAAGAATATGTTCAATGATTATTTCTGGTGAAAGTGGATCAGGAAAAACAGAATCAACAAAAATACTTTTGAGATATTTAGCAGCTGAATCAAGAAGTGGTTTATTTAGAACAATTTAACATGGATAAACTATTGAATAATAAATATTTGCTTCTAATCCTGTTCTTGAAGCATTTGGTAATGCTAAAACTGCTAGAAATGATAATTCTAGTAGATTTGGAAAATTTATGCATTTATATTTTAATCCAGATACTAAAAGAGTTAGTACTGCTAAAGTAGATAATTATTTATTAGAAAAAAGTAGAGTTGTTAAGATAAATAAATAAGAAAGAAATTATCACATTTTTTATTAAATTATAGCATCATAAATACCAGAATTAAGTATATATAAATATTAATATAAAAGAACTTAAATCTCCTTAATAATATGAATATTTAAAAGGAGGAGATCTATCTTATTAAAGAAATGAGAAATAAGAATTTGAAGAAACTGATAAATGTTTAGATAATTTAAATTTTAGTCCAGATCAAAAGAAATATATATATTAAACACTTGCAGGATTATTACATCTTGGAAATATTCAAATTGAATATGATTCTATAAAATCTAAATTGAAACTTGATGATTCACTTAAATTAGCATCTTAATTATTAGGAATTCCAAATTAATAATTAGAAGATTTAATATGCAAAGTATTTACTTCTGTAGGTAAGGAGATAGTAACTAAAAATAATAATTTAGAAAGTGCTTAAAGTTCTAGAGACACATTAGCAAAACATTTGTATGAAAAGCTTTTTAATTGGTTAATAAATAAGATTAATGAATAATTATTGAATATCAAATCATTAAGTTTTTCAAATTAATAATAATAACCTTAATTAACATAATATATGATTGGAATTTTAGATATATTTGGATTTGAAATATTTACAGATGCAAATGGATTGCATTCAAATAGTTTTGAGTAATTAAATATTAATTTTACTAATGAAAAATTATAATAACATTTTAATTAATAGATGTTTGTAACAGAATAAAAAGAATATGATTAAGAATCAATTAAATGGTAATAAATTAAATTTCCAGATAATAAAAAAATTATAGAATTAATTGAAAATTCATAAATTTCAATATATAAAATGTTAATTGATTAAACTATTGTTTTAAATAGAGGAGATAAAGAATTTTTGAATTCTCTTAAACAATTACCTAAAGATCATTTAGTTTTGGTTAGTGATTTATAAACAGCTGAAATTGAACCTAGATTTGATAAGAAATTACATAGAATAGCAAAATTTGATTGGTTTTGTTTAAAACATTTTGCTGGTGCTGTTGCTTATAATGTAACAGGATTTGTAGAAAAAAATAGAGATTCAATTAATTCTGAAGTTTTTAAAGTATTACCTAATAGTACTAATCCAGTTTTAAAAGAGATTTGGTCAAATATTTAAAATGATAATTAAAATATGAAATAAAATAATGTAATTACTAAATTTTAGAATTCATTAAAAGATTTACTTAATTTATTAAATTAATCAATACCAAAATATATTAGATGTATTAAACCAAATAATTTTAAATAACCTTTAACATTTGATGCTTAAGAAGTAAAAAGATAAATGACATGTGCAGGATTGATGGAAGCAATTTAAATAAGAAAAGCTGGATATGAAATAAGATAAAAACATATTGATTTTATAAAGAAATATTAATATCTTGTAAATAAAAATCCAAAAAATATTAAAAATATAGAAGAAATGTTTAAATTATTAGGTGAAAATTAATAAATTGGATAATTTTTGAAAGAATAATAAAATTAATTAGGTTTTTAAATAGGAAAAACTAAATTATTTATGAAATAAGATTTTAGAGAGTATTTTGATAATAAATTAATTGAGTTTAGATTAAAATACATTATGAAAATCTAAAAATAATTTAGAATTTATAGAAAAATAAATATAATGAAAACTAAATTAAAAGAATTACATAAAAAATTAATAAGAATAAAAAGAGCAATTAAAAGATTCTTATTTAAAAAATCAATAAAATAAAGAATTATATTGAGATAAAAAATAAACACATTAATATCTAAATGTATTAAATGTTCATCAAAAATGAATATATATTATTCATTAAATTAATGGAAAAATAGAATTCAAGAAATCAAAGCTATAGAATAAGCATAACTATTGGATGATGTAGAAATTATAGGTGAATCTATTGAATTTACTAAAATCTTGAAAATAGATTCATATTCATAAGAAAGTGATCTTACTAATAAATAATAATAATAAGAAGAACTATAATAAAATGAGATCAAATAACAATTAGAAACTAAATAATAAGAATAAACTCAAATATTAAAACAAGAAGGTAATTCAAAAGGATCTTTTTTGAAATAAACAGTATAACTTAATACTTAAGAAAAAATAAAATAGGTTGATTAAAATTAAGATTAAATAAAATTATAAGATATAATTTAATCAAAAGAAATGCAATTTTATGAAGAAAAAATAAATACATTAATGTAGGAAATAGATGATGAAAAGAAAAAACGTATTTAATTAGAATAAGAAAATAAACAATTAAATCATTCACTTTAAGATGTATAACAAAATGATATAGCAGAAGATAGACATAGAGAATAGATTTTAAAATTAGAAAAAGAATTATTTAAAAGAGATTAAATAATCCATGATCTTAATGTTAAATTGAATGATTATTCTAAGTAGATTAAATAATCTAGTTCTATTAATCGACTATCAGAAGTTTAAGATATGAAAATATCCTAATTAGATGGACAACTTCAGAAGAAAAATGAATTATTAAAGCTATATTCAGATTTAACAAAATCTTTAAATAAGGGTTGGAGAATGAAAATTTTAGAAAATGAATGTTTATTCACTTACTTTAATTTAAAGACTTATTAATAAA